CTTTCATTCCTAGCTGATTCTTGTTCTCGCAAGCTTATGATCTCTGAGCTTATATATGATCTCTATCAGGCTGATCTCGAGGAAGTTAGCGGGCTCTATTTGGATGCCAAATCCTCGGCTCGCCTGCTGCAGGAGCAACAAGAAAGATACATCACCTAGGTTTCTCCTGTCGTGGAAGCCTCGAAGAGAATGTAGGTGCAAGGTCAAAGCCATGTAGTTTGTGGCTTCGGTATCGATCTGCTTCACAGGTTCATAGTAGTCTTGGAGAGAGCACATTTTGCGGGGGAATGGTTTGAATTTTGTAGTGCCTGCTGGTGACTTGTGTTGGTCTCCAGAGAAGACTTGGTTCCGGCATATTGCTTGTTCACACACTGTTCACTGATTAGATTGGTCATCGGTGCAGGAATTGCCGTGTGTTTTTTTACCCTTCATAATCGATGTCCAGAATCTGTGTGCCCACGGGTTGTATTGGCCCTCATTGGTCACGGCCCTAGCTTTGTAACCATGGATAGGATTTTTACAGAATGCAACTTCTATGGCTTTACTATTTCTAAATGTCCATAAAGCATAACGAAATGTTTTTTTTACAATATATAAAAATTTATAGAAAGTAGGCAGCTAGGCATGGTGGAGTGTCTAGAGATACTGACTGCAATTGTTCCCGTAACCTTGTTTTCTCTCTCTCTGCTTATTTCTGAAAAAAAATATAGAGAACTGATATTGCTGCACGTAGTTCGTGTTTTGGCGAGAATCCGAAACTTTTCGTCATTTTAGGGGGGACAGAGTTATCCTCCCAATCCCGTACAGATTAAAAAAAAGGAAAGAGGGGCCCATATCGAGCTCCCAGCTAAATGGGCCGTGGAAAGCAAGCAGCCCACACGCGGCTCTAAGGTCCGTTGATATTGAATTGTGGAGCAACACTGCGGTAGGCAACTAACAATGCTTAATTAGTGCCACCTCAATGCTTAATCAGTGCCACCTCGCTAGTGCAAAGGCAGAAAGCTTTGGTTATAAGCTGGAATGCCCATCCTTACTCTTTCTCTTTGGAGACATCTGATAAAATTAGAACGATACAGAGAAGATTAGCATGGTCCCTGTGCAAAGATGACACACACAAATCGAGAAATGGTCCAAATTTTTTTTAGAGAGGATGACACGCACAAATCGAGAAATGGTCCAATTTTTTTTTTAAGAGTTTGCGCTCTAGACTATCATTTTTGCAATATACTTTAGGTCAATTTTCTCTAGTTTTAGTGCATCCTCCTCTTAATTAGTTTTTTTTGAGAGTTTGTGCTCTAGTAAGTCATTTTAGCAATATATACTTTAGGTCAATTTTCTCTAGTTTTAGTGCATCCTCCTCTTAATTAGTTTTAATGCATGGCGGATGGACTTCATTCGCCCCGCGCCCACGATAATGTTAGACAGATTAAGATATATACATTCTGATGAAATGGATTACCAGCCTTGCATACTATTCTCTATTTTTAATAAGCAGATTCATAACTACTGTTAACAGATTTAGGTAAGCAACAATAGTAATTCTTGATTCAGTACTGTTCTGCTCCTTGGATGAGTTTTTAAATCTTAAAACTATCTGATAACTAATAATGTTTTATTTATAATAATAATCTATCTACATTCTCTCCTTGGATGTGTCTTGCAAATCTGATAACAAAATTGAAAACTATCTAACAAGCAATGCTCCCCAATAACCTTCTCTTACCTTGTCAAACAATCTACATGGTTTCCTACCAAGTCTGAAAACAACAAAGTGAAGAAAAGAAAAGGAAGGCAGTAAACATTGGCCAGAACTTCATAGCCGTGCAGTCGTGCACTCCCGCCTCTTGGATAGTGGAGGAGAAACCCTTGATGGCTTGGGCCTTGGGGTACACTATTCTCACTTGGTCCATATTCTCCCAACGGGCTAACTAACAGCAGCAGACCTTAACAGCACGCGGGCAGGACCAGTCGACCAGAGATTAACAGCCATCGGTTTAGTACCATATCGGTTCTCCTCAGCCCAGGGTTCCGCCTAAAAATGGCAATGGGGACGGCGACCCAACTGGTATTTACTACAGTACGGTAGCCATGTATTTGTGAAGAAATACTGTTGGTTGATTTATGTGAAAAAAAATATTGTATCGTTTTTCTCCACCCATCGGGTACGCGGGTATACCCGTGGGGGGCGGCCGACGCCATGCCAGCGACCGAGCACGGCAGCGTCGACGGACGGTGACAATGCCCTTTCCTTTCATACGCTTTTGCTTTGCAGCTCCGATTCGCATCCCCTCACTAACCAGCATCAACCGTGGCCGTCCCATTTCAAAGGGACATCGAGGAGGACGCTGACCACCTACTGAAGCCGCCGGATCCCGAGCTCGTCGACGCCGTCCACACTCTGAAGCTGCAAGATCCAGATCCGGATCCGGAGGGCACTGCCACTACGTCTCCTCCAGACTCAGGACCAAGCCGAAGACATCGTCGTCCCTCCACCTGCATCGAAGGCGAAGAACGGCATCGCCGGCGCTACTGCATCGAAGCCCAAGAATGGAGCCGCCGGCGCTCAAGGCTTGGATGGAACTTGCAAACTGTAATGTCTTAAGTGCTAGTGGCTACTGCTAGCGAAGTACTACTCTCTACTACCTACTAAGTACTAATGTGTATGGATCATGAATTATTATGGTGCTATGTGACTGGTGGTTGTAGTAGAAATTATTAAGCTACTATTTGTCTAAATTTTTGTGTTCTGGGAGTGATGGTTGCTGCTGAATTGCTGATTTTTATGTGCCTACAAAAGAACTATTGTTTTCCTGGCCATTGTTGGAGAGTGTATCCTAGCCATTTTGGGAGAGAGTGTATATTTCTTGGTCATTTTGGAGTACTATGATCGCTGGTGCACAGTGACACTGTTTCCTAGCCGTTTTAATTTGGGGGAGAGAAAGTGTACTTCTACTATGACAATGGGGAGAGAGTGTGTATTTGTACTCTGACAAGTTTTTCGCGAACGTGCCTTAGCGACACGTATTTTATTAAGTAGAAGGAGAGTGTCATGCTTACAACACTCCTCGGAGGAAGGACGGAACCTAGACGATAGTGAGCCGGAATATATTTGTACTATGACAAGTCAATCAAAATGTATTTCAGCATCGTCCTTTGGACATTATCTTATGACAACTTAATTTTTCTCTTGGCTTGGATGATGTTTGAAGGTAAGCAATTGAGGATACTGGATGGGCCAACTGAATTTAATGACCATGGAAGGATGAAGGCAACTGTTGTGTACTTGCGTCATGTCCAAAAATACCTTGCACTTGCGCATATAAATCTGTTTTTTCCTTTTAATTTCGACAGGTGGCTTCATTCTCTTCCATGTTTCTAACCTCATTTCTTGGAGTGCCCGTAAGCCAATTATGTCCCGTTTCTCAACTGAAGCGGAATATAAGGCCATCACGAATGGCACAACTGAAGTTGTTTGGGTTGAATCTACTCCCAAAAAACTGCACATCTTGCTGCCACATATCTGAGCTTTAATCCTATGTTTCATGCTCGCACCAAATATATTAAAGTGGATTTTCACTTTGTCCATGAGAAGGTTTGCTCTTGGTGCTAGCTCTTGAGGTTCGGCTCATCCCGCTTCGGTTTATCAAGTTGCCGACATTTTCACCAAACCTGCTACCAAGCATCAGATGTTACAAAAATCACACATCAATCTCAACCTTGTAGCCACCGGTTAAAATTCCGTGGGGATGTTAACCATGGAAGCTGTGGTACTCGGCAATGGCCAGTTAGTGTTGATTGGTGATTGTTACATGTTTAGTAGCTGATTATTAGTTGTAATTACGATTATAATCTTGTAATTATTTCTGTAAAATTGTCACTTGATGTAACATAAATACATACCAATCCTCATTGGTTGAGCACGGTTGGCATGCATCACAGATCACACGCTAACTACTATTCCCAAACCAACTTTGGCAGGCATGTATGCGGTATGCATGGCAAATGATCTCACCGAGCTGGCCCACAAGTTGACAGATTGGGCCTTGGGGCACAACTATTCTCATTTGGGCCAGGTTTGCGATCGAAGGGCCTGCTCCCGAGCCCAACGTGCTAACAACAGCGGACCTTAACAACACAAATTAAACATCGATTGATTTAGTACCGTATGGGTACCTTAACAATGCTTGCACTTAGGAGGACCCACAAAACAAACCACGAGTGCGACCTTGATCCATACTTACCTGGACGGGGTCTATGGCTGATCAACAAGAGTCATGGCCTAGGTTAGCGGTGTCCATTGCACTTGGGAAGAGCGCTTGCCTACCATCTCCTCAAGTAGGAGAGTGGACGTCGTAATTTGTAGAAGAGGGGGTACGCGTTCGCGCGGCCCCTGCCAATCGTTAAGATAATTTTTTAATATAATATAAGAAACCTAATTTCTTATTCTTACTGACCTAGGGCTTATTTAACAGCCGGCAAATGTATGTACATTCTTTGGGGAGAGAATGTAAAAAAGCTGCCGAATTGACCTTAGGGGACGAATGCAACGAAACATGTGTATGTCAGCATCGTCCTTTTTGACATTATCTTATGGCAGCTTTTCCCTTGGTCTGGATGATGGTAAGCAATTGAGAATACTGGATGGGCAAAATTCTTTATGGGTCGACCGAACCTATGGACATGGATGCCCAATTGCCCATGGAGGATGCAGGCAATTGGTGTACTACCTTGCACTTGCGCACAGAGCTGCTTTCTTTGTTTTGGTTTCTACAAATCAAGTTGTAGTCCATCTCGAACATCATCAAGTGAGTTTTTCCTTTTTGTCTGTAATTAATTACTACTACAACAGTGAGGGCATATATTATATACATGCCGTCAGAGACATTAGCCAGTCGAGGAGGTAGAATTACATAAGCAATTCACTCTTTCCTATGTTGTGTTCGACAATGTTCAAGAAAATAAATAGCAATGTGCATTACAAGAATCCTGAGCTAAACGGGTCAAGATTGGGCATCAGAATCAGGTTGCTTCTTGTAGCTGCCGTCGCCATCGTCCTTTTCATTCATATCAGGAATCGAATCACTGGTGGCCCCCAGCTTTTCCTGCAAACATCATACCAACACTGAACTGAGGCCAACAAATACTACAAATACTACAGAAAAAAAAGAAACATCTGAAAAAAGTCACAATTAGCAATATGCACTAATTCAAGCGCAATGTGTGCCAACGGTACTGCCAATTTCTTATGAATATGTGTAGCAGTAACTGCATAATTCAGGAGGTGATCTAGCATAACGGAAAACCTGAGCTAGCATGACAGATAATATGAGATGACAATATCAAGAATAGAAAATGACTGATACCTTGAGGGAAGCATTCTGTGAAAGTAGCTGTTCGTACTCCTTTCTTATCCGCTCAAGCTCTGCCCTGAGAGAGGAGTTCTCCGACCTCAAAGCTTCAGCACGTTGCCCAAGCTCCTCGCACTCAGCCTGGAATAACCGAATAAGATCACAAAAGCATTGAACGAAGGATCTTAGAAGATGAAATTCAGGTAGCAGGATGTCAGCATGAGCGTTGCACAATACCTGCTTGCGCAGCCGGGATCTGCGTGCTGATTCTCTATTAGACTGCTTTCGTTTTTGCTTCTTGAGTTCCCTTTCATCCTGAATATTGCCATGATACAAACACAATTTGCGGTAAACAGATTTTGCTATATTAATGTGCACACAAAGCACTTATATAAATAAAGTAGCATTGAAGCGTGGTATCCTTGTTAGTATCATATTTACCACACCCAAAGCACAATAAGATAGAATAAAACTTCTCAGAGCACTTCAGAAGATGGCAAGACTATAATTTCTCTTGTTTATAAGTTTAAAGGATGGTGTTTGAAACAAATACAAGAATTTTTTAGCTGGACATGGAAAATGGAAATGTTAGGGCATCAAATAGTTTCGCTCAGCAGTCATTATATTTTTCAAGAATAAAACGGGAAGAACTGTGTATGTTGGTATTAGGTTCGAAATAAATAAAACAGTGTTTACAAATTCACTCACTCAATGGACTATATGGATAAGGAAACAACTACAAAAGGACAGGTAAGACTAAGTTCTAACTGAAACTATGAGGTCCATCCGCCTGCTTACACCACAAGATGTCCAGTGCTTTGGCTCCTGCCTGACTTCCTCATTATAGAAACTTATTATCTAGAACAACACTATCAGCACAGTCTACATAAAAAAACAAAACCAGTATTCGGTTCTACGGAGCAAGAAATACACTAGAAACACAATCACGACATGCCAATCCTCAAAGATCAAAGATTTTAGTACATATAAAAGTTTAAGCAAACACATGCTAAAGGACCGTACCCATTGGTCTCCTCGAGCTGAACCAGCTGGTGCTTTGCCATGCGTTGCAGGGACAGCTGCAGAACCTGGAGCTGCCCAGTAGTCCATTCCAATATTCAAGTTAGCTGTGGAGCTAGGGACTCCTCCAACCATTGCACCCGGTTGTACTGGAAGCATCGCCATGGTTTGGTTTAACATTCCTTGTGATGCTGAATAAGACATGCCATTCTGAGAATTGCCTGCATATTGACAGGATATACCCATCATCTTATGAAAACAGATATGCAATTCTATTGGTCTTTATCATTTGGAAAATAAAACAAGTCCTCAGATACCCACCATCTTCCTTTCCATCATTGTCCTTTGAGTGTGAATCCTGCAACAGCAAAATTATCAAGGAGTCTAAAAGAAGTGTTATGACAAGAAAGAGATTGAGGATCACAGATCAATCTCACATTTTGAGAATTGGCATCACTTCCTTCACTCTCACTCTCACTTGCACTCTCACTGCAGGTAAAAAATTACAAGGTGATTAGGTTGTGGATGAACTCTAGAGATTTGTAATTTACACTGACAAATAAAAACCTGTGGGAGGTAATCCCATTGGCAGATGGAGCAGATGTTCTGCCAGGCTCACTTTTCCCTGAAATTATTACGAGAAGTCTAATTTTAATTTCCATACTCTGATTGACTTTGATAATGAACTGTTGACCTTGGAAAACACTCACCATTCATTTCTGGAACACTTGGCGCAGCTCCCTGAAAGGTATATTTCAGGATTACATGAAATGGTGATGACCAAAAGGGAATAGAAACAGTTGATTACTTACAGGAGTTTCAGCATGTCCATTTGTTGGCATAGGATAATGACTAAATGGATGCATAGTCTGCCAATAATTTATTCATCATGCAAAAATATGTCAGCCACGCAGGATAAAAGGGTGTGTGTACATTAGCTTGCATGTAGGTTAAATTTGTTAGGCATAAAAGTGCATACAGGAGGTGTAGAGGGATGGGCATATACTGTTCCAGGTGGATACATCACATAAGGTGGTGGTGGCGTCCCGTAAGGTGGCACCATGGGCTGCAATTAAGGGGCATTGGTTTTGATTTACATATGAAAATCACATGCTCTTGCAATATAACACATATAAATACAGATTGACATTAACAGTAGTAAGGGGGCACCTGAGCTCCCCACATGTATGGATGGGCCTGTGGATTTGCAGCAACAGTAGGGGGGAAGAACCCATGTGGTGGAATTGCTGAGTAGGCCTACCAAGAACTTTAACAAGTAAGAGATAAAGCCATAAAGGAAAGGAGAAATGCTAGATAAAAATAGAAGGTAAATGGAAAACGTTTCTTTCTTAATAAGCAAGGGCATATTTTTATATGGAATAACCTGAAAGCTAGGCCATTCAGGGTAAACTGAAGCTGTTCCACTGGATGTGGTAGCTGGAGGTTGATCCTGAAAATAGGGAGTAAGAAACATAAGAAACAAAAACATCAAGTTTTGTCACGATAGAAAAAAAGCAGAAATGTGTTTTGTCCTAGATGGATATGTCCTTCTGTCAATGGAAAGAACTGGCCTATGTAAGTAAAACAGAATTAGGCAGAAGGTGACATTCAAATGCTGCTCAAACCTATGTATGCATTGTGCACTTCAACTTTAATAGCAAGATTTCATCAGCCTTAAAAGCACCAATTTGATTTGAAATAGTACTTGAGCCACATAATCTGAGAAAGGCAGACTGTATTTCTATCCTTTATTAGTCCATGAAAGCATCAGTTCATATCATGTCATACTTATTCGGCACGTTTCCTAATTTGGCCGCAGCAAAATCACGAGTATTCCAAAAAGATGTCATTATAACCAGTAATTAAGTACCCTAAGGTTATTGCACTAGTAGGAAAAAAATGACCATTATCTCTTTAGGCAAATAACAGGAGCACAGTTAAGCACTGACAATGCCATTTATTAAATATGTAAAAGTGTGTTATCACTGTTTCAAGTACTTGTTCTGATGCCTTTGAAGCCTTGGAGGGTGTGCTAGGGTCATTGCTTCCCATCGGTTGACCAACAATGCTTGTGGCCAATCAGGTTCCCCAATCACTCAATTGCCACCCAAAATACCAACAACTGAAGACTGAGGTCTTGAACAGGTGCAAGGCTTCCTGTTGAACCCAAGAGAAACAAACATTGAGAGGCAAGATTAAAAAAACATCTATTAACAAGAAAAAGGCACTCTGTCTTCGTTTGGAATCTCAAGGTGTATTCCATCTCGTTAGGACGAGTTATGCCCTTTATTATCCAACAAATAATGACTCGTGCGTTTTCGAGAGGTTAAAAATGTCTTTATCCAACAATTACCCTATGTCATTATGTGATAAAACATCATAATTGTAAACAGGCATGCTTCAACACGAATCTATTCTAACAAAAATCAAGCACTAATAATTTAGAAGTAGTATTAAATTGTCCGCCAAAGCCCCGTCCAAATAAAACGAAAAAAAAAAAGTTCCGATGGACAGCAGCAGGAAACCGCAACACCAAATTCGCCATGACCAGTGTTGGTAGCATATAACCGCGTAGATGGAATGCAGGGAAAGCGTGAGATAATCCAGCAGAGCGGGGGTCACAGCGCACGTACTCGTCTCACCAGTCCCGGGCACGCGCACGCCCCCACGGGGAGACGACGCGGGCGAGGACCGCAGCAGGCCCCCACGTCTCGCGGCCGCACGCGGCGAGGCAACCGGAAAATGCAGCGGCGGGCGAGCGCGAAGGCGGCCGGGGCGGAGGAGGCGGAGGCGGAATCCTTCCTTCGTCGACGACGAGAGGTCAGAGGAGGAAGGAGATGGCGTGGCGTGGCGTGGACCGGGTCCTCGGTGGACCGTATGGGCCGCCGCCTCCAACCGAAGCGGGCGTGGGGCCCACGAAGGGAGCCGGCGATGATGATTGGGGCATGGGCCTTTCGTGACCCAGCCTGTGCGTGCCCGCGATGATTTTTGATTGGTATAGGTGGATGGAATAGATAGGCCTGGCCCACCTGGAGCGTCGCAGCAAGCGACCGCCGTCTTTGCAGCCGGGCCATATCTTCTAGAATATTAAGGCAAATTTAGTGAAAGTGTAAAATTATGTATGTGCCCCTCCTATATCCTTTTTCTCATGTGCTAGAACTCAAAAACAATCTAAACATGGTTATTATAGTGATTTACACCTTGACATGGGATCTCCGCTCGACCAAGTGCTCTAGTTGTCATATGTGGCTAGAGTAGTAATCGATAGTGTAGACGTGGTGTCTAGACTATATATTAGTTGAGTTTGCGCTCAATTCCACGGATAGTTGTGGTAGCCCCGGAGGTGACAACTCCGACCAAGCCTTTGTAATCCACCACGCTTGAGTTGGTGTTTTCGTAGAGCTTTTGGTAGCCTGACCCCGATCACCCTTCTCAGTCTTTTTGAGGATCGAAAAGGAACTACTGCTCCAAAGTATCTTGGTGTGATCGCTATGTCTGACCTCTGCTTAATTAATCCCTCTGGTTTGAACTACAATAGAACCATAGTAATAGAGAAGTGCATAGGAACCTTGAGCTCTCCCGTTGTCCTCCCATCTTAGCATGTCTGCTCTTTTTATCTTATCATGTAGTTCTCCTTCGTGTGTCACTTATACAAAACTCCTATTTTACCACTTACCCCCACTTTAGTCTAATCGGTATACTAGTTAGTGGATACATGATGGTCAACTATCAATGTTTTTAACCATTGCTTCCCTGAGGATAAATACGATACCTAGAATACTCTTGGATGAAAGCTACAACGGTATCCATACGCTTGCGGATTTCTCTGTTTGCGTTAACAAATACCAACATGTACTACACTCACCTTAGGATTCCTTGGCCATGGGCGCGCAAACTGTGCACTGAGAAAGTGTGGTATTTCCCCTGCCATGTCAGCGTTTTCATCAAGTGCGAAGGCTGACCAGTCTCTAGCCTTAGATGACCTTGGACCAAACAATTGGTTTTATGGGAGTACATAGACTGAATCTAAAACACCTTCGGTTGTTTCGATTCCTGTAAAAGTTGGAATTATTGGGAAGATATCTTCTTCACGGTTAAACTTTCTTACGAGATAGTAATGCAATTTGGACCGCCCTGTGAGCTCCACCTCTTAATTCTGGGAGATGCAGATGGATGCAGCATATTCAAAGTCAACTCTTCTTCTTCGTCTTCTAAAGTATCAGAGGTCCAATCAAGGACTTTATTAGATTTCGCAACTTCAATGCCATAGGTGATGAGCGTGGCACAAGCCTTCCGGACTTCAGGTGGAACAGGCAGCTTGTCCTTCTTGTAGGTTGAGAGAGTTTTGCATGCTCTTCTGGCTGCAAGGATTCCCATCTAGACATCATCATGATTACCGGTGGGACACAATCCTTTTTCACTATTGTAGTCTGGGAGGCAGCCTCTAAGCATGGACCAGTTTCTTCCATTTGCTAAGTATGGACAAATTATGGGCTTGATGATAATACTCAAAACGTCCATGCTCGTTCTCAATCCCATAATTCCACCCTTTCCTTCCATCAATTGCCAAAGCTACAGAATGATCTTCAAAGGTAATGGTCAAGTACAAGGTTCCGAACATGGCAATATTATCAATCACCATGTCAATTACTTTAAAAAAAAGATCACCATGTCAGGACCTAGCACTAGTATATAAATTTTAATAAAGGCGGACATTACAACCGCCTCCAATCAAAGGCCTCGTTAATACAACATTAACGGAGGCGGGCGTCTATTAACCGAGGCAGACGTCTTAACATGCCCGCCTCCGTTAATGTTCTCTAGAAAACCCCAAAACCCAAAAAACTTGTGACTTTGAAAAATAAAACCCACGACCTGCCACTCAACACTACCATGTCTCTACCACTACACCACACACTCATTCATGTCTATATATAATATGCTATTTTTTTATATCAATATTTTCAAATCTTATATTGAATATTTTGGCTACTAAATGAACTCAAATAAAAAAAAATTAACAGCAAAGTTTAAATCTTGTCAAGTACTACAGCTTTGGTATAGGATGTATCTCCATCGGAGATAGTTTGAAAAATTCAAAAAATTGAGTCTCAAAACATTTGAATTTCAAACACATATTTGACACTCTAGATGACTTTAAATCAAAAAACTATCAATATCAAACATGTAGATCAGCTCGGCCACAAGAACTTTGGTATTAACAACATGAACATTTGAGATCGTTTAGAAATTCTAAATTTTAAATTTTAAAATCTATAACCTTCAAACACACATTTGTAACTCTAAACATCTTCAAATTAAAAAATTTTCAACTACAAAGTTGTAGATTCTATTAAGAACTATATCTTTTGTATAGACCATGTCAACATCCGAGATCGTTTGATAATTTTAAATTTTAAAATTTAAAATATGTGCAATTACAACAATATTTTAGGACCCTAAACAGTTTCAATTTAAAAACTTTTCGACTAAATGCCTGTTTGGAAGCCTAGTTTTGAGCTCAAAACCGGTGTAAATTACAGGTCTGGAAAATTTTACATGCTCATTCAAAAACTGCTGCTTGGATGAGTTGTGAACCTAATAATTTTACACCCGTATTTGGCCAAAACCGGTGGAAAAAAACAATCGTGTGAGGAGGTGTGGAAAAAAAAAAAAAAACACGACAACTATCGGGCACGTCTCTCGCTCGGTCGCCCCTCCGCTCCCCCCTCGACTCGCGGCGGCGCCGAGGTTTTCCCCAGTGTGCCTTGGCGCTGAGCAAATCATAGGCCGGCGCGGAGTGAATCGATGGGACAAAGAACGAATCAAGGCCACGACTAACAAATCCGCGACGACGAAGTTTGAATCGAGGTATCCTCAATCCGCCTTCTTCGAGTCCTATCTCGCCTGTATTTTTCTGTTCTTGTGCGGGACATTCCAAAAGGCTAGCGAATCGATCTCCAGGTACATGCTTGCATGAATCAATAGATTTAGCATGTCGTGTGATGCAGAATCATAGGATTAGCGCTACAGCACAATCGAACCCGGTGTCCGGTGATGTGCTGCTGATCCTCTGGCTCGCCGTAGGGTTCCTTGTGGGTCGTGGCAGCGTCCCCGAGCTGGTGGCGGAGAAGAGCGCGTCCATGTGGATGAGAAAATCCATGTCCCCGACTATCATATCCTCCTCGGCAAAAATCCATTCAGATATTGTCCACTCATATTCTTCTACCCCCATATCGTTCTTGTATTTTTGTTCTCTGTAGCTGTTCTTCTAGCGAATCAATAGATGCACCATGTCCATGTCGATCTTCTGCTAGTCTCCTTGATCACTTCTGCACAGCATTGATAGTACCTTGTTGGCTTCCTTTCACGTGAATGAGTAGTAGCGCTAATACATAACTATATGCTTAGATCTCCATCAAACAATTGTAGAACATGCATGCATATATGTATGATGACTATTTCTTTTGCGAGTAATTATTTGCTTGTTATATAAAAAATATATGATCTGAGAGAACAAAACACTAGCTATCTGATACACACTCTTTAGAACATGTGGTATATAACATGCATATATGTAGTGATGCTTACATTCTTGGAACAGTATGCACGTACAGTTCATAGAGTTTTTATGTGTATATAAGGTTCAGAACACATGCACTTTCAGAGAGTCTCTATGTGCATTTGAGTTCTCGAAGAAAAGATAGATAGCAATGTCCTTACTTTCTGGTATGTATATTGCAGTCTAGCAAGCTTGGTAACACTAGATTTATGTATGTATCATGTCAGGAGATGGAACAATGGAAGTAACACTTGATTGATTATAGAGATGCATGCTGTGTATCAGAAAGAAAGGGAAAGAACTAGAGAGGAGAAGGTTGAGATGAATCAGGCTAGATTGGAAGCAGACTGACAGCAGTATTGCTGCAACTTTAATTTGTGATGATGAAGGTACCTTGATAGCTTTTGCTGCCAATACTGCATTTCCTTGTCATGATTTTATCAATCACTAAAACTAATAGAGGAACTATAAACATGACTATTTGTGGAGTACAAAGAAGGCTACACTAGCAATTATTGTCTCCTTTGTTTGGACCAACATGGGTTCTGATATTGTGGTTTTTAGCATGGGCACATGAACAACCTTACAATATATAGCTCAATTTTGACTTGATTTTTGTTGCGTATGCTGAAACAATCTATGGCATGGCTCAATTCATGGATGTTGAAGCATACTTATGTATCCCACCAGATTATATGATCCTTCTCTGAACTATCTTTTTTAGTTTGGACATACTCCTATGGAAATGCCTTTTGGACTTCTAATCTTGGCTTTCACTTCCATGATATGAGTGTTAGAAACCACACTAGCTGCTAAATGATGGTCATGCATAGATGTATTTGTTAATTTATGCCATTAACCTTGCACACTCATTTTCAGGTTAACTTTGTATTTAGTCTCCATGTAACTGGTAACATTCATCATTTCCAGTTTTTGACACTAGTTCAATGGTACACTGACTGCTATTCTCGATATAGTTTGGTTTACATATGTAGCAGTCTAGTCAGTCTTATTCAATTTGTAATGGAATCTCTTTGAAAATGCTTACTTGTTTGTGTTTTTTAACAATGCTGCACACTCATATTTATAACTCTGTGTTGCAGGTTAGTGGTTTCAAAAAATTTGAAGATCTTGCAAGATCATGGTCTTGTGTGAGCTTTACCAAAAAAACATCTTTTTGGTCTGAAGCAACCCTATATTTCCTTGGATGGGTGATGACATGTAATTATCTCATTTTTTCAATTGAGCAATGACATACCTACTGTGATGCCTAGTTCAGTGATGGCATTTGATCCATCCGTAAACATCTGTATACCATTTTTTTTTAGAATTGTGATGGTAACATAGTATAACATTTTTCTTAGAATTGTGATGGGTGACAGCAGTCCTACCATTGCAAAACATACTTGTTAAATAGGCTAGTAACTGATGCATGCAGCATGGGGTATACGAGGATACAGCCCTGTTCGCACCTCTGTCTTATGAGCCGTATTTATTTCAATGAACGAATAATATTTTTTTCTCACAACAAATCAGTGAACAGTATTTTCAGCCATATCTTTTCAACAAAACGCGAAAGGGCCACAAGCATAACATGTACGTCGCGTAGCAGAGCCAAGCATATGGGAGCACGCGTGGCAGAGCAGCTAACAGATGCAATCGGATGCCTTTTATCCAAACAGCAGTTTACAAGGGTAAAATAAAACAGTAGCATTTTTGTGCACAACAAATTACGATCAGAAATGGTTTGCACTTGAAAATAATACCGTACTGCCAAACAGGACCTAAAAAGCTGCAGATTTTGTCGAGAGCTATAATTTTGATATAAAGTTTGTCTTCGTCCGAGTTTATATGAAAAAGTTATGAATCATTTTTTGTTGCAATCATTAACTGAGGCGAACATCTTAAGACGTCTGTTGTGAGGTCGAAACCGCGGCAAGCAATGTTGTTCGTCAAGTGTCAGCGTACGTGTCTCCGGTGGCTTGGGTGAACTCAAGAACACAAGAATCACATAGGGGACATAACGGTTTATTTTGGTTTGAGCTATCTGGGCCCTACGTCCAGTAACTGATGATCTCAAGAGCACCCAAAATTTAGGGGTTACAACAGAGTGTAAGAGAGAAAGAGAGAGATTTGGTAGGGGATCGCTCTATGCTGATCCTAGGAAGCCTCGCCGCCGGTGAGGTCTTCCCCCTCGTCGGAGAGAAGGTAGACGATGGGAGCCGTAGAGGAGCTCTCGGTGCCCCTCTCTAGGTTGCTCTGCTCTCGGTGCAGAGCATGAGCTGAACGATGAGGACTCGGATGATCTGTCTCTGGGAATTGTCCCCTAGAAATCATTCTCCCCCTCTCTAGGATCCGACCTCCCCTTATATATCGAGGTTAGGTCAGGTACATGGTCGCCGGAGTCCAGGAGAAATGAAAGCTCTAGTTTGGTTTTGGTAAATTGATGAAACCCTAAGTGCTAACATATTTGCTCTAGTGATCATGAGATAGGAAAGCACATTCCAAGTGGTGGAGCAAATGAATGAAGATCATGATGGTGGAGGACATGGTGATGATCAAAGAGCTCAGGCTTGGAAAAGAAGAAAGAGAAAAACAAAAAGCTCAAGGCAAAGGTGAAACTTGATAGGGCCATTTTGTTTTGGTGATCAAGACACCTAGTGGGTGTGATCACATTTAGGATAGATAGCCGTACTATTAAGAGGGGTGAAACTCGTCGTGAGATGCGGTTATCAAAGTGCCACTGGATGTTCTAACTTATTGCATATGTATTTAGATTCTAGTGAGTGCTAACACCCTTGAAAATATTCTAACACACGTGCACAAGGTGAAACACTTGGTGGTTAGCATATTTGATCAAGGGTGGCGAAGTTGGAGAAGAGGAGGCACTATTTTTCACTGACCGGACTCTGGTCCTGGAGTGACCGGATTCGGAGGGTGCGTCCGGTCATTTATTGCA